TGGCATATCATAAATCACTCCTGGGACTTCAACTATTTGTTATCTATACAACTGACTTGGATGAAGGAGTCAACTGTATTGTAAATAAATTTGTTGAGCAAGCTGTGAGGAGGTTAGACTGAACCTGCAAAGCAAGAAGGGTATTGGGGAAAACAAAATTACAGATCAAGATTAATCGTGAGAAAATGTGTGGATGTCCACTCTGGCAAGAAGTATGGAAATGCAGAATAGTCCTTCAGTGGAGGAGACAGCAGAATGCTGCATTGCAAAGGGACCTGGGTGTCCTTGGATCATGTAAAGTAGTATGTAGGTAAAGCAAGTAATCAGGAAGACAATTGGTTTGTTAGTCCTGATTGGTAAGTGTCACTGTGATTGGTGGAATTGCCCTCGAGCACCGTGGACCGTGTTGGGAATAAAATTCATATCTATGTGTAAAATAGGAAGATATAGAACTGTTTGGACACTGTGGAATGTAAAGGGTTTTTACAGTTATTTATTTGAAAAATGAGGTCAGATTTAAAGTCTGTTGTGTTTTACCTGCTAAGATCATTTCACTTTCAGTCTTGAGAAAAAAAAAAAAATAAGGAAAGCTTTTTGGGAGATGGGATTGATGGAAATTAATTCCTGGAAAACACATCTTTTCAAAAGACGATGGGGAGTTGAGTACTGATGGTTTTCCTTACAACCTTTTCTGGTCTTGATGTCACGACAGGGCCTGGGTGATGCATAAATGACATAGGACATCAGAGCAAAAGCTGGACATTCCACTGAGCTGCAACTTGATTTTTTAATACATGGTTAATAATTCAGCTTTACTGAAACATATTGCTGTGGATTTTTCTTTCCCATCCGAGTGTTTAACATCACCTGCTGGAGCTCAAAGGATAATCTGGGGAGGGATCATTGGCAGGAGCAGAACTTCAGCCTGGACACAGTCCTTCAGAGCTCACTGAGGGAGACCAATAGCACTTTGATCTTTCTCATCTCTCTTCTCTGACAGCAAAGTCCCCATGTGGGTTAATCCTGAGGTGTGTAAGAAACGTTTCCCAGCTGCACTTTTCAATGTTTCCAGTTTCCAGACACAGAACAAAAACGGGGTTATCGTTTTGTTTAAGAGTCAGGAAGAGCAACAAAACGTACTGTCAAATCATGGATTGCTTTCAAACTGTGATCTGGTCCTGACCAAAAGGAAAACAACAGATTTAAATTTCCAGTCTGAAACTGACTGTAGCTGTTACAAAGTAACCACCACTTTAAGGCTGGTGCTAACTCTTAAAATAAATAAAGTCTGCATTAAAATAGCAGACGGAGGAGTTCATACGAGCCTGTTAACCGCAGGTAGAAGTATACTATTGGCATTTAATCCCCAGATGAAGAAAGACTTCATAGAATCCCTAGAGTGTGGAAGCAGGCCATTCAGCCCATCAAGTCTGTATCAACCCCTCCAAAGAGCGTCCCACCCAGACCCACTTGTTACCCTACTTCCCGTAGTCTGCATTTCCATGGCTAATCCACCTAGCCTGCACCTCCCTGGACACAACTGGCCATTTAGCTTGGCCAATGCACATCACTGGACTGTGGGAGGAAACCGGGGCACCCAGAGGAAACCTACACAGATGAAGAAAAGAAAATGAAACCCATACAGACACCGGGTGAATGTGAAAACTCCACACACACAGTTGCCCGAGGGTGGAATCAAACCCAGGTTTGTGGTGCTGTAAGGCAGCAGTGCTGACCACCGAGCTACTGTGCCACTCTTGCAGGGTCTGTCTAGAAATTCCCTGTTTTATTGTGTGTTATATGCCAGAATAAAGAAAAACATGTATGACATTTTTTTTAAAAAAAGGTCATTGCAATACAGGAGGAGGCCATTCTGCCCTCGAGATACTTCTGTACATGATTTATAGTAAACAATGGTGCTAGTTTTTAAATGGTATTGTTTCCTGGCCAGTCTTTCCCAAGCTGCTGGTGATATTCACACCTCGAGGCAGGTGGTGGCCACACCCAAGGAAATGGTGGCTAGCAGCACAAAGATGTCGGAGGACAAGATCAGCAGGTGAAGGGCTCTGAAGTGAAGCCTAGCAATCGGACTGGACAGAGGATGACTGTGAGGACAGCCCCTCCTAGCAGATACAACACAGAGAGAGACAGAGTCACAAACCTCAACGGAGGGAGCAATATTTTCACACTTACTACTTTCCAGAAGGCGTTGGGCCCAAACAAGCCAAGCAACAAATACATGGATAGGAACGTTTTAGAAGGATATGGGCCAAGCACAGAGAAATGGGGTTAGCATGGATGGACATTTCGGTTGGCATAGACCAGTTTGGGCCAAAACACCTGTCTCCATGCTGTGGGTCTCCATGACTCCAACTACTCAGGCCATTCAGCTTAGAGGCTGCAAAACAAAAATTGCACTGTGTCAGCTATAGGGAAATGCTGAAGAAGCACCAAACTCCATTTTACAATGTCCCCGCTGTGGCAGCAATAAGATCCAGAGGGTGGGATGGGGAAAAAAAAAGGTATTGGTACCAATTAACTGCCTGCATCGGGGAGTTTGTTACTGGGGAGGGGAGCAAAATGGTGGTGGTGCCTGAATCATCAATTCAGCAAGCCTTAATCTCTCAGCTTCTTCCTGTAACAAATGATATTCCCCCAGCTTCTTCCTTCTCAGGTAATAAAACAATTTCCTCTTCAATGTTTCGATTGAATCTACCTCTACCACCCTCTCAGACAGCACATTCCAAATATTAACCACTCACTTTCTCCTCATGACTTCATTTCTTCACTTTCCAATGACCTTAAGATTTTATCCTAGTTTCCAACGAGTCAATGGAATGCGAAAGTGGAACAGAATGTTTTATCACTGCTGTCATGGTGACCTAACTGCAGCAAAGTGACTTGTTTGAATTTCAAACTCCGCCCACCTACTGCTGTTTCCCCCTCGGCCTGCAAGTTCTTTCCTTCAAGCGCTGATCCAATTTCCTTTTGAAAGTGCCTGTTCCTGTTTATTGAGGCCTAACAGTAAACTAAATATGAGAGTAAGAACTGCCGATGCTGGAGTCTAAGATAACAAGGTGTGGAGCTGGATGAACACAGCAGGCCAGACAGCATCAGAGAAGCAGGAAAGCTGACATTTCAGGTCAGGACCCTTCTTCAGAAAATTTGAAGAAGGGTCCCGACCCGAAACGTCAGCTTTGCTGCTTGGCCTGCTGTGTTCATCCAGCTCCACACCGTGTTATCTCAGTAAACTGAATATGTTGTATGCACTATTAATGGATGTTTCGTTAGTTTTAGATAGTTTTGTGGTCCAATAAGGAAAATAATAGAGCCTCAACATTTGGTAGAAGCTTCCAGAACATTTTTTTTTTCCCTCAACATTTCAGGGAAGTGCCCATAGCTTAGAAAGGGAGACTTTAGGTTTCAGTTTTACTTTGTTTTGATCAGACCTGTGAGGTTGTTGGAAGAGGATGGCTGTGCAGAACAGCGCTCTGAATAGGGGAGGGGATATAGTGAACTAGGTTACCTTAGAACGAGCAGTTAGTGTTTGTCCCACACCAGAAGAAGTGTGGTGATTAAACCCTGAAATGGTTATTTAAAGCTGAGTATATTTAAGGCTAGATATATAATAGCTCCAAGGAGAAGCTCACAGTTCCAGTCCAAAAGCTAAAGCCACAGGTGTGTTAAACCTAGCAAGTTGAAAAGACACAAGTACTCTGGTGTGAGTACTGCACATGCCTTAGGATACAGGGTAGGCCATTTCGGACTGAGATAAGTTATTAATTTACTAAAAGGGTAGTCCAACTGCGGAATTCTCTCTCGCAGAAGGCTGCGAAGCCAAGTAACTGAACATACTCAAGAAAGAGATTTTTTTAAAGATTTCGAAGGCATCAAGTAGTGCAGGGCAAAAGCAGGAGTGGGGTACTGACAGGAGGGTCAGTCATGATCATAATGAATACAGGACCAAGGTCAAAGGATGAAGGGCCTACTCCTGCTCCTAGTTTCTATGATTCAACGAGTGGTGTGTTGGGTAATGTATAAGAAACTGTTTCGTTCCTTTCCAATTTATAAGAGATTTTGGGATTTGAGAGTTATACATTTCCTGGGCTTTTAAAAATAAACTTTTGAATCTGTATTTAGTAAATGGTTT